AAAGCTTTGTCATTTCTGGTAAAATTTCAAGATGAGCAAAAAACAGTAGATAAATCAAGGTTGTAGATCCATTTGTGTTAATAAACCAGTGAAGCACCTATTAGAGATTACCAGGTGAAATTGAAGCTGTATTGTTTCTAAGAATGTGGAATTAGTCTGAAGTAGATGTGGAGAGAGAAAAGAGTGGTAATGATACTCACTGGCATTCACTCAAAGGCACTACTATGGCTTGCATTAGGTTGAATGATAGGAAATTACCAATTTTTCAATGTTTGAGGCCTACAAAAAATGGCAATTTCCTATTACTCAACCTCAATATTATATGTAATATAATATTATTGTATGTCGATATTGTTATAATAAAATATATATATTGTATTAATAGTAAAATTAATGCATCCATTACATTGGTAGTTCTTATGTAGTATTGTAAGTTATATATTGTTACATTAATATCACAAATTAAATTTATATTAATATTGGTATATTACTATATTGATTAAATAGAAGGTCAGCAAACTTTTTTCTGTTGAGGGCAAGAGAATAAATATTGCAGGCTGTGTGGGCCATATAGTCTCTGTCATGACCACTCAACATTGCAGTGGTAGCTCAAAAGCAGCCATAAGGCAATACATAAATGAATGAGTAAGGCTGTGTCCCAATTTATGTACGGTTGCTGAAATGTGAATTTCTTATAATTTTCACATGTCAAGAAGTATTATTCTTCTCTGAATTTTTTTCAGTCATTTAAAAAAGTAATCATTCTCAGCTCCTGAGTCATACAAAAATTGGCAGCAGCCAAAACTGGCTGGTGAGCTGCAGTTTACCAACCCTGGGATTATATCAATATTTTATCTACATTATACATATTAAATTGCAGTATATCTATACTATGCATATTATATCTATACATGTGTTATATTATACTCTACCATATCATTTCATATACTGTATGCCATATTACATTACATGTATCCTATACTACTATCTTCTGTTACAACTACATATCATCATACCATCTTCCAGGCCAGCAGCATTCTGGGTAGTCCTCTCCCATCTCCCCTGGCTGCAGCATTCTGGGTAGTCCTCTCCCATCTCCCCTGGCTGCAGCATTCTGGGAAGTCCCCCATCTTCCTGCGCTGTAGCATTCTGGGTAGTCCTCTCCCATCTCCCCTGGCTGCAGCATTCTGGGATGTCCCCCATCTTCCTGTGCTGTAGCATTCTGGGTAGTCCTCTCCTATCTCCCCTGGCTGCACATTCTGGGTAGTGCCCCATCTCCCCCAGTGGCAGCATTCTGAGTAGATCTCCATCTCCCTGCCCCACGGCATTCTGGGCAGTTCCCCAGCAGGCAGAGGAAGGAGCGTGGCCTGCCCTTGAACTCCCGACTCACGCGGTATTTTCCCGCTTTCCCACAGCTGCGCCCGACCTGACGGCCTTTGGCGACCCCCGCCAGTTCCCCGCACTGCCGTCCATCTCAGACCCTCGCATGCACTACCCCGGCGCCTTCACCTACTCCCCGACGCCCGTCACGTCAGGCATCGGCATCGGCATGTCGGCCATGAGTTCGGCCACGCGCTACCACACGTACCTGCCGCCGCCCTACCCCGGCTCGTCGCAGGCGCAGGGCGGCCCCTTCCAGGCCAGCTCGCCCTCCTACCACCTGTACTACGGCGCCTCGGCCGGCTCCTACCAGTTCTCCATGGTGGGCGGCGAGCGGTCGCCGCCGCGCATCCTGCCGCCCTGCACCAACGCTTCCACCGGCTCGGCGCTGCTCAACCCCAGCCTCCCGAACCAGAGCGACGTGGTGGAGGCCGAGGGCAGCCACAGCAACTCCCCCACCAACATGGCGCCCGCCGCGCGCCTGGAGGAGGCCGGGTGGCGGCCCTACTGAGGGCGGGGGGGCGGCGGCCCGGAGGCGCGGTCTCCAGCCACCGGGCT